TAAGAACGCTTTAGCTTTAAGGCAAGATTAAGAATGCCATCGCTTTTATGGCGAGTTAAAAACTTATAAGTTTAAAGCAGGCTTAAAAAAAAAGATATCGCTTTCAGGCAGGATTAAGAATGTTTTTACCTTTAAGGCAAAATTAAGAACGCCATCGCTTTAAGGCAGAGTTAAAAACCTATAAGTTTAAGGCAGGCTTAAAAAAGATATCGCTTTCAGGCAAGATTAAGAACGCCTAAGCTGCAAGGCAAATTAAGAATGGTAAAAATTTAAGGAGAGGATTAGGGACATCATAGGTTAGATAAGGATCCACAACATCGAGAGTAAAAATTATGAACACTTTATTCTTAATGACAAGGGTTTAGAAGAAAGAGAAAGATGAGTTCATTTTATTTTATGTCTTGCAGTTTTAAAGATAAAGCATTCATGCGAAGCAGTAAGTAAATGCATGGTATTTCATAAGAAACCGGTTGATACACTAAAGGTTTCAAATCATAGTAAAAAAACAACTTTCATATAAGCACCAGTGATTTAAGTATCGATCCTTTTTTTTTATTCGAGACTGAACAAACAATATATGTTCATTTGAAATTATTACAGCAAATTTGGAGTTTAGACTTATTGAACTCACCTTGTGATGTCGATAGTCTATTGGTTTAGTATGAGTTTCTCTTAATAACAATGTCCCGTCACATGCTTGCCCTTTCAGCCGTGGGGGCGTTATAATGTTACGACCAATCCCACTATTCGTTGGTAAAAGAGTAGCCCAAGAGTTGGCGGTGGGTGGTAATGACTAGCTGCCTTCCCTCTAAATTAGGGACGGCTAGCGCAGATAGCCCTCGTGTAGCTTTGCGCGAAATTCATAACAAACCAAACTAATAACAATGCTCCAGTGTAGATATTACATGTATTAAAGACAAGTTGACGATGCAGGGGTTAGATAGGACACTGATTCTTCCATATTTACAACATAGATGCAGGGGTTAGATAGGACACTAATTCTTCCATATTTACAACATAGATGTAGGGGTTAGATAGAACACTGATTCTTCCATATTAACAACATAGATGCAGGGGTTAGATAGGACACTGATTCTTCCATATTTACAACATAGATGTTAGGGTTAGATAGGACACTGATTCTTCCATATTAACAACATAGATGCAGGGGTTAGATAGGACACTAATTCTTCCATATTTACAACATAGATGTAGGGGTTAGATAGAACACTGATTCTTCCATATTAACAACATAGATGCAGGGGTTAGATAGGAAACTGATTCTTCCATATTTACAACATAGATGCAGGGGTTAGATAGGACACTCATTCTTCCATATTAACAACATAGATGCAGGGGTTAGATGGGACACTCATTCTTCCATATTAACAACATAGATGCAGGGGTTAGATGGGACACTCATTCTTCCATATTAACAACATAGATGCAGGGGTTAGATTATTTACAACATAGATAGTTAGGGTTAGATGGGACACTGATTCTTCCATATTAACAACATAGATGCAGGGGTTAGATAGGACACTCATTCTTCCATATTAACAACATAGATGTTAGGGTTAGATGGGACATTCATTCTTCCATATTTACAACATAGATGCAGGGGTTAGATAGGACACTCATTCTTCCATATTAACAACATAGATGCAGGGGTTAGATGGGACACTCATTCTTCCATGTTTACAACATAGATGTTAGGGTTAGATGGGACATTCATTCTTCCATATTTACAACATAGATGCAGGGGTTAGATAGGACACTCATTCTTCCATATTAACAACATAGATGCAGGGGTTAGATGGGACACTCATTCTTCCATATTTACAACATAGGATAGTTTGCATTCACGGAATCTGCCAGCTTATTTTGTATGCAAGCAAAGCATATGACAAATAGCTCCGAAATATAAATCCCTATATGAGATTAAAGATTATTTCAGTTGGTTGTTCACAGTACAAATGTAAACAGGATAGGTCCTTACCATTGTTGCATTTTAGGAATTTATTACATAAAAAACAGGTGCTTTTTTTCGGGTAAGATGAATGTTACTGTTTCCTTTAAGTACAAAGCTACACGATGATTGGATAGCTGTGCTGAGCCAACGGGAGTGGGGTGGTGGTAAATATTTAGTGGATTTAATGCATGCTTTTCGATTAGAGCGAACAGCAATATGACTGTATGAAGGAATGTGTTGCAAGGTCATTAAACATCGCTAAGCCTACTTAAACAGCAATTCTACTATTTCAGACAGTTTTTTTTAAATAGTCGATATTGTGTATAGATATACGTTCTTATACGTTACAAAATCAGGTTAACACTAACATTAGAAAAATGTTTCGCTGGTAGATAAAATACCGGTGGTGTATATTCTGTTTTTTGTTAAAATGTTGCTCTTCTGTGATTGAAGTACAAAGGTAAGAAACAAACTAGGAAATCGCCAATGCAGAAGAAAGGGAATAATGGCAGAAACCAGAAGAGAGTTCTTCAGGGTCAGGACTCGTTATTCTTCTCTCGACAAAGTTTCGCTTTTCTGCAACGGTCTCCCCAACAGAATGCATAAATATACGTGTGTTTGTGTTCCTTGCTATTTAAAAATTGTGTAGACAAAAAGACACAAAGCGTGGGTACGAATGTGCTAACTGAACAAGCAAGATTTATCGTTTATTTACATATATATACCAGGGTGATCTCGTTCCTTCAGTGGGTAAGTTGTAAGGGATAACTTTTTATTCTCAACACCAAAATTGCAACTTTCGGCGAGAAAAAACCAACAACAAGAGCCTCAGTTTGTCATTGAGTTAGACTGGTTTCGGATAGCTGGACGGGGATAAATGGTGACCTGTTATTCATGTGATGAGAAAAGAGCAACTCAAACACTGTGCACATGAATTACAAGTCACAACAACGAGAGTCCTGGTCTTATTCATCGATTTACTCTTGTTCAGGGTCACTGATGGGCTGTGAAATTCTCCGAAAGTGGTTTCAATAACAAGTGACAAATACAAGAATAGACTGAGCCTCACCTTTCTTTCGCCATCAAATTCGCTATCATGATGATGAAATTACATGAAAAAAACTATTATCATAATACTTACTTTTTGGTCTGTCCTGAAAATGCGCGCGCGTTCATTACTATCTAAATGCGCATGCGCGCGCACTTCATTTCAACGAATGTAAATCAAAGGCGGTTGTAAATATACTTTATTAGACATTTTCTGCAATAACATATTAAAAGCTTATTAATGTTTTTAAAAAGGGTCTAGCGTTAGGTCGTATAATAATATTATTAGTTTATTCATTGATAATATTAAGTACGGTAAAGTTTAGCCCTAAATAAACTAAAGTAAAAAACGTACACAAGTTATAGTGTTAATTTATCTCTTTATCGAATATACTCATTAATTTATATAGGCCGTATTTAATAAAGTCTTAACTAAACTAATGCTAGGCCTAAGACAAGCGGACTTAATAGATTTCGGTGTCTGCGATTAGAATTCTTTTGTATTATTCTAGAACTCCTGTATTTAAAGAAGAACTGGGGAAATAAAGATAATAATTTGATCGCAAATGTTTTGCGCGTCTCTGCTAGTATCATAATAATTATTTGAGACATGCCGCAGTTAACATGAACAAATTTAGCACACTTATTGGAATGAACGTTTTATAGACTGCTCTTGCCTCTGCTACTCGCGCAAATTTTCTACACAGTCTTTCTAAAGGCCGTAAACGCTGCTAACAGCGAGGATACCCAACTGATGATCTATACTCTAGACACAGAGGCCACAGGAGCTTTTGGTGGTGTGCCTGTTACTCATAATGAAGTCTAGTTATTGTTAATAGCAATTTTTATTGAAGATTTTTAGCAATTAAATCATATAGTATGAATCTTTCTGCTGTTTCTGCTCCAATAGAGTGGCATTTTTAGTCTTAAGACCTCCTCACACACACACACATATAGACCAACCCTACCAACGTTACTCAAGTAAAAGAATATGCTAAATTATAAGACAGCTGAAATGAAACAATGTTTTTGATTGTTTCGAGTAAAATTACTGCGGGAGTATAAGGGCCTGTACTTGTTGACTCGCAGGGGGCCTCAGTGATATTACTGCGGGAGTATAGGGGCCTGTGCTTGTTGACTCGCAGGGGGCCTCAGTGATTGCCGCGCCGGCTCTGTTCACGGGTGGGCTTTTCACGAGTTGAATCTGTGTATCGGGCGAGCCGCTGGGTCCCAAAAGTGTTAATTTTGTATATCTTGCAAAGGGGCCTTTGTGAATTGGGACAATCATCAGATGAGCCTGTGGGCACTAAAAAAAAAGTATTAAGTGTTTATATCTCGGAAGAGGATCTGTCAGGAGTCGAGACAGACAGGTCTCTGGGGCAGCTGCCTAACCTGTATGCACTCTATTGATAAATAAAAAATGGCATAGCAAAAACTGCTGATCATATCTTCAAATTAAACTTTCGGTCTTGGTCTGTTTCAAACACTTGACCTTTTATGACATACAGTTATAACTGAATTTAGCTTCTCGGATTATTCATCATCACGAAGTTATCTGTCTTCAGCTATTAATATTTAAAAGATTGATCGTTTCAGTCATAACTGCTTAGCCTAAACACGACATAAGTAGTTGTTTGACTCGATGATGTTGGCGAAAACTGTCAAACAGTAAGGGTCATATACTGAACGAAATTCGGCTGAGCAGCTTTTTACTATATACGTACAGTAACAAAATTAAAATAAAGGCTACGTTAGACGTGAAACAGGCTATAGATTATAGATACATATGCTTCACAAAAACGTGTTTAAAGGTGGAGCTTACTGGACTCGAGCCAATTCTATTTGAATGGATGTTCTCAAGAGATGAATGAAAGAGCGTTCGTAGACGGCGCGTGCCGGGTTCCCCCGCCTGGCGGCCAGTCCGCGAATCTTTGGCGCCGGTGCTAAGTTACAAGTAAATTGTAGGGTACTGCGAGACCAGGTACGCCGCATGCTACTCAAGAAACAACGTCCACACTTCGATGGCTGTGAGTCGGATGGCTCGATTTCTTTCAGTCTGTGCTCAGCTGGACTCCGTGACGCCAGTCAACAATGTTCTGGGCAGTCGTGCGCACCGGGCTGTTGTCGTGATTGGTAGGAAGTACGGCTTTAAGAACAAGATGCAGGACTCGTCGAAGCGGAAGACTTGCTAGGCTAGTGACAAGAAAATCTGTTTCACTAGAAATTAAACTATGATCCTGGCCTACGTATAAAATAACGTCAGTTATCGTGGATTCGTTACTGTGAGTCTGTGTTTCTACGGACGAAGAGGTCATCTTCAAAACACGTCAGTATGCTTGACCACATACATTAAAAGTAGGTAAGTGATACAAAAATAATATATAACATTCATTTGTTTTAAATAATCAATACATAACTATAAGGACGTCATAGTCTGCTATATTATTTTATGAATAATAATAATAAAGTGTTGTTGTTGGTCCTTACATTAGCTTAACAGATTGGCGTAGATTGATTTAGTGATGACGTACCTCACACATCTTGTTTTTCGGTTTTTCTTTTCTTTTTTTTTAACTCGCCTAAAATTTAAAATTTAGTCTGAGAAGTTTCTGACCGTTGGTCACATAGTGTTTTTTTTGCAATGTTTACTTCTGTTGCACGAAATCTATTAATACATCATTCAGTGACACGATGTTGCACGTGAAAAGCAAACGATCCCATGACACCAATTTAGTTTCTTTCACAACTCTAAAAATCAGGTTTAGATTCCGGCACAGCACAGATAGTCCATTGTATAGCTCTGTGCTTAATAGCACACGGACAACTATATAGCAGATCATTCCTAACCAAAGAAATAACTTCAGTTTGACATAATCTGAGACAAAAATAGTTTTGTAAATGAATTAAGTTTTCAAAAAAGTAAAAAAAACAAACAAACAAACCCTACAAGTCTTTTTTTCAGTGGAGTCTCCGGTAGCGTTACTTCAAATAAGAAGTTTAGAAAATATATTCAAAACGATTACAATAGCATAATCTAATCTTTCTTTTCGTGATTTTTTTCAACATTACAGGCTTCTTTTAATTTCCATCATTTTTCCTACGAAACTAGTGTTCCTGGATTACTCTACGTCAGCAGAAAGTTTGCTTTAAACACTAAACACTAAAACACTTAAAACACTAGAATCTGCACTTGAATTCTCCGCATTTGAGAGAGTGCTGATAGTCCACCGTGTAGCTTCACTAAAAGACAACAACAACAAAATATACCCCCATAAACACCAAAATACTACTTTCCTGTAGTTCCAACTATTTTTTTCACCGCTCATCGAAAATATTTCGGCACGATTATTTTTTTTTCTCCCTAATCTAATGATTCATAGCAACGTCAAACCTGTATTAAACAAAAGAAATAAACTTAGCAGCTTCAAATTATGCATAAATGTAATGCTGTATATAACATCCATCAGGTTATGTTTGAACTGGTGCTTTAATAACTAACCAGCCTAAATAATAAATTATTTGATTATTTTACAACGAATCTGTTAATAATAGTGGTTTATTTTACTACAAAATATTTTGATGGACTTTAACAGACCTTCTAACTGACTCACAATTCATGTATTTATGCTAAGAACCTTTTGACCTGTATTGTTTTAATCTTAACCAGCATTAAAAAAAGTTCCAGTATTCAGCCCACTTAGTTGCCCACAAACAGAATTGTGGAAGCTTACCCTAACTAGAAGAATTATAAAGAAGTACTTTACTTCTGAGTGTATCTTTGGGCTTATTCTTACTTCCTTGAGACTACAAAAAGTATTTAAACTCTGGAGTGACCGGGGGCTTTGCCCCAGATCTCTTGCCCTTCTGGGCTGTGACCCTGAACCCGCACATCAAAAGTTGGCAGCTTTGCTTCTAAGTGTACCGAACCTCGGTACGAAAAGTCTATCATTTAATAACTATTTCGACAGCAATTATTTTTGACAGTTCATTCATCAATCCAATGAATACTTCATATGTAATCTTTTTTTTTTAACGAACTAGTTTTCTAAATGTTAATTGGCGCTGGCTTCATTATGAAAAGAGAACTTAATAATGAATTTTGTTTGGTTTATGAAAGTGGAATTGTTTTTGGTTTTATGAAAGTGGAATTGTTTTTGGTTTTATGAAAGTGGAATTGTTTTTGGTTTTATGAAAGTGGAATGGTTTTTGGTTTTATGAAAGTGGAATTGTTTTTGGAAAGTGGAATTGTTTTTGGTTTTATGAAAGTGGAATTGTTTTTGGTTTTATGAAAGTGGAATGGTTTTTGGTTTTATGAAAGTGGAATTGTTTTTGGTTTTATGAAAGTGGAATTGTTTTTGGTTTTATGAAAGTGGAATGGTTTTTGGTTTTATGAAAGTGGAATGTTTTTGGTTTTATGAAAGTGGAATTGTTTTTGGTTTTATGAAAGTGAAATGGTTTTTGGTTTTATCAAAGTATAACTACTTATTCCATTGGTTGAATAATGATCTGTGTTTTTTTTTGGCACCAACATGAATCTAATGTATAAAACCTTTTTTTGGCTGTTTACTTTGTAGTTCGTGGTTTTATGCTTCAATTTAATATATTACAGATTGTTTTCAATCAGAATGATGAAGATTTCGTCAGAAGTGAAAAAACTTCAAGTTGTCTACGTCTGGGTGACCATCTTATGCCTAGGGTGTGTGTCAGGAGATAAGATGTGGGCTCGTCAACGAACCTCCGAGACAGAAACCTTCACTAAACGATCTCCCACAGTGGGCGATTCAGTAGTGTCTTTCTTAATAGGGGCCCTGAAGGCGGGAAATAAAACAGGGGGCACCCAATCGATGACGACACAAGACGAGAGCCTGCGCATCAGCGTGGTCGTGCGCCTGAAAGAATTTATAGAAATAATAAAAACGGAGTTTGATAAGTTCAAAGACAATTACCATAAGCATAAGAAACGATGTCGCAAGAATGATAAAAGGTGGCGTCGACGTTACGGCAATAAACGAAGAAGAAGAAATAAAAATCGTTTCCGTAAAACTCACCATCATCATGGACGTGAGTCGTCGTCCGCTGGAACGCTGTTTCCTTTAAAATCTGACTCGCCATCAATGATAGTCACAACAACCAGTCACTTACAAAAAGGTTGGTGCCAAACAAAACCCATGGTGCAACAGATTCAGGAAGAGGGTTGCATCTCTGCTGAAATATCGAACAACTTTTGTTACGGACAGTGCAATTCATTTTTCATTCCAAAACCGGGAAATGATCTAACAGACGACAATTCAGCAGCTTTCCGTTCGTGCCCTTTCTGCAAACCACGTAAAGTACATTGGATTACTGTTGTTCTACAATGCCCAACATTAACTCCACCTATTCGTATCAAACAAGTGATGCACGTGGAAAAATGTAGATGTACTTCACAAATTTCACAATAAACCAGCGACAATAAAGTTTCAACTTTAAAGATATGGAAAGTAAGGGCAGAGAAACCTTACGTTTTCAATGAATCGATGTTGTGATAAAGTCTTGGAATGTTTCCATGTAAATTGTACAGTTGTAAAAGTAAAATATTAACTTACAAAAAATTATCTTTACAAGGTAGCCACACGTGCATATTCGATATTTCTTACGAGTTAGAATTATTTTTATCTTTTTATTAATATATATATGCTTATAAAATCATATCGTTTTATTCGTTCCCCTTCTCACTGTGGACACCTACAACACCTATATGTGTTTTGAATCAATAGTTTATTACCAGAAAAACATTATCCCATTAAAAGTATCAACTCTTAAAATTTCTAAAGAATTGACTTTACTAATTTTCAAGCTATTTCTCTAATCCGGTGTGGACTTCTTCTTCTCCCCTTAATCCCTTCACGTGGGGTCAGAGCGTCTTCATTTAAATCTATCGTTCACCACACTGAGGTCCACTTGATTACTGTCCTCTTTAATAAAATTCTTCCATCTATTCCTCAGACTCCCTTTCCACCGCCTGTCGTTCACTTTCCTCCCTGCTGCCCATTACTGTCCTCTTTAATAAAATTCTTCCATCTGTTCCTCAGACTCCCTTTCCACCGCCTGTCGTTCACTTTCCTCCCTGCTGCCCATTTCACCCATCCTTTGCTGTCCTCACTTATCCTTTGCACATGCCATACCACCTCAATCTTAATTCCTGCATCTTCTTTCTGATGTTACAACACTTCACCTACTGTCTAGTTTCTGCACTCGCTTGTGATCTCATAAAGTCACTCTTCTAATGTATCTCAGCCACCAAATTTCTGTCACTTCTGATCTTTTTAGATGACACTTCTTCGCCACCCAAGTCTCGCACTAAATACCAGAGCTGGCAAGACCATCATTTTGTACAAAAGACTATTGAGCTTCATTGACAATCGTCTATCAAATACTATCCCAGTAATTTTCTGCCAAGTCACTTTGTAACCTGGCCTATATCTTTCTGTTCAGCTCCCTGTTCCCCTCTATCCAACATCCTAGGAACTTAAAACCCATCCCTCTTCAATCCCTACATTCAGCTCAGTTGGATTCACTGTTGACAATACTATCCTCACTTTTTTGATCTGCTCATCTTCGTTCCATGTCTGCTCACTGCTTTCTTCCATTTACACACCATTTCCTCCAGCTCCTCCTCTGAGTCCGCTTCTAATACTATATAATCTGCAAAAATCAGTTTTTATGCCTTTTTCTATAGCTAACTGGTTACGGATAATGACGAATATCAGTGAACTGAGCCTTGTTGTAGATCAACCTTCACTTCAAATGCCTCTGAGAGTCTAAAATAAATTTTTACTCTTGTCATTGGTACTCTATACATGGCCATGATCGCACTTATTAATTGTTCTGACTATCTATACCTCATCAGTAAACACGTTAAGTAAAATAAGGTTTTAATATATATTTATTAAGAACTCGTGTTCTTTTAATGGCTGTTTTACACGCTTTATTCAGGCTTCCTTTCATGTTGTCTTGATAATTAAATCAACAAAAAACATAGTGTTATTCAGTTATACAGTTTGTTAAATTGTCATTAGTGGAAGAATGTTGTTATCATACGAAATTCAAATGTATCTTTTGTTTTAGTATATTACGTCAAATTAAAAAAAGTTATAAAAATTACCCGTCCTTAGATGTTTTGGACTCATAAATCACGAAATTTAAATAACTTTGCAAAGAGATGATCTTTTATTTCAATCAATATGTAAGTAATGTACCAGTAGATGGCAGCACTAATAAAGAGCTCGCTGATGTGTTCTAGATTTGTCCAACGTGTATATAATATTCGCCAAAAAAATGAGTTCAAAAAAATTGGATAACTTGTGTTTATGCAAATACTTTGTATTTTCTGTGTTATTTTCTTCGTATTTATAGGTATGTGTGTACATACACACACACACACACACACACATATATATATATATATATATATAGTTCATAAACGTGTTTTTTCTTCTTCCACAAGTACAAAGATATCCAGATACGACGGAATTTTGTTCATATTCACTTGCACGTGCCAAAAATTAAATGTCTGTAAGTATGGTTATAAACGTTATCATGTTGTTGTTGTTTTTTTTTTTATTTATGTACTTATATATTTGTACATTTAAGAATCTCAAAGTTTAATAGAGTGAACAATAAAAATACCATATTCTCTCAATGGGTCCTTTAAAATCCTCTACTTTGTACAATACAAATGTTGTAAATAAAGTGTATTCATGGTCAAATAGTGTATTTCGTTTCATGGCCATGTACGTCCCATGTTAGATAAACGTGGCGAAGAGTGATACATGAGTGCTTGGTCAACTTAAACAGCTGTGCTGTTCGCTAGGTAAAGATAAAATATCCCCATGTCACTTTAAATCACTGATTGCACGTTGATATTCGTGAATAGTTTGCGAAATATATTTAGTACAAAATTAACGCTACCTTTTTTACCTGTTATATATATTTGAAAAATGTATATATATATATATTCTTACTTCTTATGTCACACAGTCAACCGTTGGGTTAGTGGTAAGTTCACGGTTTAGTAACGCTAAAATCCCGGGTTCGATTCCCTGCGGTAGACCGAGTGCATGTAGCCCACTGTGTAGGTTTGCACTCAGAAATCAACGACAAATTTATAACTTGTCCCTCGGTGGGTCAGCGGTAAGTTTACGGACTTACAACGTTAAAATCCGGGGGTTCCACTCCATGCGATGTACAGAGCGCAGATAGTCCATTGTATAGCTTTGCGCTAAAACAAAAACAACATGTCACACAAGGAAAAGGCGAAAGTCTTAATTAGATTCCAAGTAAATCTGGTTAGATCGAAAAGCATGCTTAATATCTGCAAATGAGACATATGATACCCTTCAGATATCTTTAAATAATAACAAAATAACGTTCGTCTTCTATTTTTTCAAATCAAAATCACGGTAATAAAAATTCGGTAATTAGTGAGGAGGGCGTTAATTAGGGGCAATACGGTATCATCAATATGAAAAAGGTCACGAAATACTTTGGGATGAAAGTCTTCTCCAACACCAACCCAAAACGAAAAAAGAAAGAGACTGTTTAGAAACTCTAGAAATCATCAAAGCAAATTATCTCTCACTAAACCGGCCTGAGCAACATCAGACGTATTTGGCAAGGTCTATTCACCGTTCATACACTTCTGACATCATTTCCGCCACGTTTAATCCTCGTGTCCTTTGTCTTTGTAACGATATATAAACCCTGTATTGCTTAGTACAGATCATTAAAACGAGAGCCTCTTCAGGTACATTCTCCACTCCAAGAAATCTGAAATCATCCAATCACTTTAATGATCAGAAAATACACACTTACATAACATCAAAATAAAAATTTAACCAAGAGCGGGTCGAAAAGAAATTTTAAATTTCTGAGCACTCCTAGGTTCGAACAAATGTACCTACCACGAATACAGTCAGTTTTACCATTAATAAAACCTTGTGCTTATAAATCGTTGTTTACCTACCTATTATTATATTAGCAGAATGTGCTTCCTTATTCAAGTGCCAAAGCATGATGTTAACACCAAAGGGTTCAAGTAAAATCAGTACAACACTTGTTTGAAGACGTTCAAGGTGTAACTCACCTGTAACAGGCTCCCTAGTGGCACAGCGGTATGTGGACGCTAGAAGCCAGGTTTCGATACCGTGGTGGGTAGAGCACAGATAGCCCAATGTGTAGCTTTGTACCTAACTATAAACAAAAAAGCAAAACTTGTAACAGTTCCTACAGCAAAGAAACACACCCATGGATAATATCCTGGCTCAAACCCAGATGCGTTTATCTCTTTTGTCACAATATTAAGTAGGTATCCGTTGGCCCAGTAAAAGCAATTATGATAAGTAACAAACCCGTTTCACATGAATTTCGCCTTGTCTGTCAATATTTTGTGGCCTGCTAACTCTTCATCTGTACGCCATCAGATGATGCGTAGACAGTATAATTTTAAATAGAATCCGCCGTACTGACGAATATGACAATTTGTGTTCCGTGAATAATTGACGAAGTGACTTCTCTGGGCTTTATTTTATTGTCGTAGTAATAAGTTCCTTATTTTCTGGTGTTGTCATTGTCACCTGTCAATCAGTTCCCGGTGTACGTGTAAAATAACCCATTTGTACAAAGCTTGACTTGATAACTTTAAATGTCACAATGAGTCTTGGTGGTGACATTTTTCCTATTGTGCCTACAGACCAACTGGATAACATTATTCTCTTCTTCAGTCGGTCAGCAGCTATAAAAAAATCAATTACTTAGCATAGTTTAGTTGGTAAGTTTGGATAACCTTGTAAGTATATGCACATACATATCTATATTCACGTGTATATATATTTATACTTATACGATTAACGTGTTTGAGCATGTTCAAAATATATATGAGCATCATCAATATATTTTATCTTTTAAGTCTTGCCAATTGTCTCTTCGCACGTAGGTAAAGAAGACCCAGATGCGGTTTGATTTTACCTCTGGATTTTACCCAAATACCTTGAAAATACAAAAAAAAATACATTTGTTATACAAATCTGAAAATTCGAATATGCGATTAAAATCGCTGTGAAGAAAATAAATTATGTTATCAACAGTTGAGCCAAATCTTCTTCATCGTGATCTGATGAAATTCATTTGGCCGAAGTTCTGCCCACATGTTTTTTTTGTTTTTTTTTCCCTTGCAGAAATTTTAACCATTTCTATGTGTCTCCAAATTTTATCACTTTGTAACTGCATTTCTTTATTATTCATATCTACTCTACATCTTGGTTTCATCATAAGTTCGAAAACGCATGCTCCAAATGAGATTCGGGAAGATAAAAATCGCCTTTCCAATTGCTTACTTGGAAAGTTGCTTGTAAATATTTCAACACATTTATATTGTTTACAGAGTTTGTTAGAAAGTTTAAGTCTCTGTGTGCATTTGGTTTAGTCTGTTTTGAAGTTCGCGCAAAGCTACACGAGGGTCATCTGCTCTAGCTATCCCTAATTTAACAGCTAGTCTTCACCACCCACCGCCAACTCTTGGGCTACTCTTTTACCAACGAATAGTGGGATTTACCGTAACATAATAATACCCCACGGCTGAAAGAGCGAGTTTGTTTAGTGAGACGGGGATTCGAACCCGCGACCCTCAGATTGCGAGTCAAGCGCCTTAACCACCTGGCCACATTGTGTACGAAAGTTAAAATGTAATATTCCGCTATTCATTGAAAAACTAGTTCTACGCTAAATGAGTGGCATGCGAAATGTTTCCATAGTAACTGACTATTTTGTTGGGTGCTTCCCTCTGCCTCCCAATGGCACAGAGGTATATCTGCGAAATTACAACGCTAGGATCCTGGTTTCGATACCAGTGGTGGACAGAGCACAGTTAGCCCATTGTGTAGCTTTGTGCTTAACTACAAACAAACAAAACTTCCCTCTTCATTTATAAAACGCAGATAGCCCTTGTGTAGCTTTGCGCGTAATTCAAAACAAACCAAACCACTTATAGAATACTACACTTATAATGACTTATTCACTTATCAGGTGATTACTTGAGTTTCTATAATAACATAGATGTAACGATATCGTGGCTAGTTTGGAAAACAGTGGATATACCAGGAAACATTCTGAACTGCTTTTTCAAAGGGACATGCTAATAGCTGCCATCTAGCAGGAGCGTCGTTACCAAAGAATATTTCTTTAACAGGCTATTTAAAAAATGTACGTTACACAGTCTATAAACAGGACAATAGAAAATAAAAAGTGAAACTACAATTGAAAAGGCTTTAGATTGTGCCCAAATTGATCTATTAATCTTTCAGCAGTAGTCAGGACTCTATTAGCTATATAGTGTTATATGAAGAATACCAAAAAGACCTGTCATACGGAATTTCACATCTATTCTATCTCAGATTTATACAAACAACAACAAAAAAAAACAACACTTGTGATACTTAAAGAATAAATTACTTGATGCGCGTGATGTGATAAGTCACATTAGGCCTTTCACTGCGGTGACGGCAGAGTATCAACATAGAAAAAATGTTAAGAAACAAGTGTTCTCTTTGTGTTGTTCCGACAGTACAAGTTACTGGAAGTAGGGTAACAGTGTAGGGAAAATCTTTGTGGTTGAGTTGGACCTTCTGATTCTTTTAGAAGGTGGACAAACATCCAAAGTATACGTGAATTGTTTATGCAACAATCCTCCACGCTCGAGTTGTTCATAATTAGTTCAAAGAACATGACTGCCACTGCATTCACTTTCCATGGGCAGTATTATTATTACCAGGTCTCAGTCCGATTGCAACTCTCTACCGACATCTGTGAACCAATTGCAGACCATATTTCTCGGCGGATACATAACAGTTTGAACAAAAACACTTTCTGGCTTCTTGCGAATTCTATATATGACACCGACTCAAAACGAAAGGTTATACAAACCGATATAAGGTGGGGTCGCCAATCAAGTGCCCAGTGAGTGCATTTTTTATGCTATTTTGTTTAAAAACATTAAATTATACAAAAATAGCCTTATACAAAGGAAGAAGATCCCTACTGTATTCTTAACAGATCGTCAAATTTCTGGAGCAGAGTTTGTTTATTTTGAATTTCGCGCAAAGCTACACGAGGGCTATCTGCG